TAGACGGACAAACAGACCTTCTGTCAAGTATTTCCCACCACAGTTCAGTCAATATTGAATCTGACCGGACGTCTAATCAGCTAGAATGAGAGAAAACACCTATGTGGGTTTACAGGTCCCTTCAGCCGTTATTTATTCTGAGCACATTAGCTGTGTCAGCAGGGACTGAGCCATTTTTAGTTAGTCTGGTTTCACTTAAGTCTAAAATTGGGTTTATTCTGTGTTTCAGAAACTGATCTAGAGAGTGTGCAGTACAGTTTTCCTTACACTTCTAGTCTTAATGATAAATAACTGGATCATGAGCCTACCTCACAAACCTGCCATGATTTATTACTCGGGATGCACGATATTGGATAGTGCTAGTATCCGACATAGCAGTATTTTCTGACTCATTTTGGCCAATTGCTGATGCCAACATATGCACACATGTATGCAAAATTAAATTTTAAAGGATTCATTGGCTGATTTCAAAAGTTCACTCACACAGGTGTTCTCATGCATTTACCTGATTAGATCTTGCAGATGTGTACAGACAGCTTGACTGACATCCATCTGAGCCTCCTCAGCATCTTATTGGTTCATGACGTTTGCTGACCTCGTGTATTTCCTTGCCCAGCTTCAAACGTTCGAGCACCTTTCATCACTGGCACTGACTGTCTGGACCACTGAGGTTCTTTTCTGAATCCTGAGACTTGACAAGAAATTAAAAAACAGCACAGCTGAATGCTTGCGTGCCACTGAAGCTGCAAAGCCTCATGGGAGAGCGCTGTGATGAAAATCAGGGAGGCTTAACTGGGACAGACTGGCCGGCTATATGACTCAGCACCAATGGGTCCAAACAGAGCGGAGCCACAAAGAGGGCCGCGGAGAGTCGGTTCAGGCCCGAAGCTCCAGTCTGCCTGTCAGCAGGAATGCTGGGGGCCCGAATATAACAGACAGATCTGCATACCGCACAAACACATCACATAACAGCTTTCAGATACGAACCCAGGCTGTTAGCTGTTGGTCAAACCATATGAGTGTTTGAATGATTAAACTCATACTGGTAGTTGTTTAAAACCTTTAAATTTCACTGATCATGTGCCAGAAATAAGAAAGTGTCTAAATTAACCAAGGCTGCAAGGTTATGTTAGCTGGTCAACATCAGCAGGTGTAATGTTTAGCATCTTTGCTTGCTTGGCATTTTTAGCTTGCTGATATTTGTTTATTAGCCCTAGGGCTAAAAGAAAAATTCAGTTTTGCATGTATTTGCTAATAAATCAATGTACTGCACACATTTTGGACATAAAGACAGCAGTGCAGGAAAATGGGGAGATATTACAATTAGGCCTGAGAAAGGCACGAATGGGCGAACACAATATTAAGCATGTCTGTGAAGATTCTCAGTCATCCAAGTCATGGTTATTCTCGTAGTTTAATCGTAACAACTTGCTTGAGTTCCTTGAAGATGTTTCACCTCTCATCTCAAGTGTTAATGGCTCCTGAAGAATATAAGTATCTGGAACTCCCAACTAGTCAGTCAGAACTGATGACGCCTCTTGGATGAGACGTGAAGTCCAGAACTAAGAAAGTTACGGTGTTCATAGCTCATTTTATAATCACATTCATGCGAATTTTAGTTTCAGTGATCTCAGGTGTATTCTCTTTCGTTGCATTAAGTTCCTACTATTTCATATAGTATTTGTCTTTGACTATTTGTAAAAGGAAATGTTCAATTTGTCAACTTAGCAATAAAATAATGCAGTTATTAACAGGAAATTTAAATTGTGACTCATTTGACATTTAAGTGATATTACACAGAGGTTTCATCACTTCTGCAGGATACTGTATGCTTCATAAATGTCATTCTGCATAGCAACCATAGTCTTGGGAAAACATTTCACTTTATAAAGCAATAAAAACTCAACCTGTCAGAAGCGAAGGGATGTCTGTTTCAGTTCTAGAAGGCCTTTTGTTCGATACAGTCTGTTTTCTCATCTCGCAGACAGACACGGCCGAAGAAACCCTTGCCTTCCTGTGTCTGCCTCCTGTTTTTCCTCATGAGAAGAGTAAAGGAAGAAACAAAATGAGGGAGAGAGAAAGCGCATTAATCAAGCATATTCTGAGTGCCAACAATGAGCTCAGTCTCCCGTGTCCCTGAACGCAACTGTCCTCCTACGCATGTAAACACGCTGACAAACCCAGTCTGAATACACGTATTTAAAAACTATTTATTTGTTTTCAAGAAAGGGCATGATATATATATAGGTCATATATAACATACTATTCTTTTCTTGCTGTAAAATAAATTTGATACATTAGACTTTGCACTGCAAGTCTTGTCATGATACATATCATACATTTACATATATAGATTTCTAACAACTATTTTGTGTTCATTTGCTTATCCCAGGGTCCTTTTTTTTTCTCAAACAGAACCACATTATTTTCAACGCTGAACATATTTTAGCTGCCTTTAGCGTGTAGCAGCTCCGTAGAAACACTCCTGTATTAGCATGAAGGCAGCAGCAAGCCCTTTGCCCAGAAAATCACTTAATACTGGACTCGTTGTCTGAACCCTGGGATAAACAAAGTCGTCGTCTGGGTTGAACAGCGAACTCTGACATCCAGCGCTGGCTCCGATCCCGCTCGTCTTTGGCTCACACACATCCCTTAATTATGTTTTAATAACACTGAGATCACACAGAAAATATTCCCGGCAGTTTCTTTTGTAAGTTTAGCCTTTAAAGGTTTCATTCATGGGACCTCATAGATTTGTCGAAGCACTACGACCAATGATGTGAAGTTTCCATAACCTGTCAGGTAATACTGTCTTCTGAATGTATAGCTAAGGATGTGTGAGAAAGAAAAAAAAAAAAAATCTGCACTGGAACAAGAACCAGGCAGCCAGAGTTCGTTTTTCCACCCATTTTTCATTTATAAACCCCAATTTTGTAATGTCGGCAAAACCAGCTGCTTTCAATGATTTACTTTTAACAACACTAAGTCCTGAATGCATCATTAGATTTGACACAGTCTGAATATAAAAAATATATTTATACATTTATATTTACTTATAACATCTAATTGGAATGGACATGGGGATATAAATAAAAGTGAGCGAATTTTCACATTTGAAGTTCAAAAAAAAAAAAAGAAAGAAAGAAAGAAATTTGAACAAAACCCCCATAACATTCATTTTACATAAAAGTGCATCTGATTTAAATTGATCCTGAAGCTAAAAGCTCCTCATTTTGGGCCAGACACACTTGAACAGGAAGAAGGCAACAGATTTTTTTAAAAACTGAAATTAACTTTCAAACCAATAAAAAGCAACATCTGCTTTACTTTTGATACAAAGCTGATACCAAGTCTGCAGCATCATGTTTCATCTGCTCCTGTTTTGGCACTTTGTCGGCTGAGAACTCCTGCTGTATTGAAGAGCTACAAGAGGAGGATGGTTGGCTGGTAGAAGAATAAGTCACAGTGAGGCAAAAGGCAGAACAAGACTGAAGAGTCCAGACAAAAAGAAAAACTTAAAGAGCCCATATTATGCATATTTATAAGTTCAGAATTTGACTTTTTGGACCTACAATCATCTGTTTAAGTGCCTTAATTTTTTTATTTTTAAGCATTACTTTTCCCGTACTGTATATTGCTACAGCACCTTTGGGCTTTGAAAGTGTACAGACCACTGACACGAACAAAACATTTATAGAACACAAAAAAGTAAAGGGAGAAACTCAAAAGCATAATATGAGCTCTTTAGAAGGAAAAATCCACCAAGACTATTGAATATAAATTCCTATGCTGTATGAAATCCACATATTGTCTTAGATGTCCTGGATGCATTAAGGCAGTGTGGCAAACTAGGTAGCTTTACAGGTAGAAGGACATCAACAGGGATAGTGAGGGGAATGCTTTTCTACATCATCAGCATACACCCATCAGACAAAACATTACAACCACCGGTATATTACTGTGGAGTCTCAAAACAGCTCTGACCCATCAAGGCCTGAGAGCTTTGTTTTAATGTTTTGGCTCACTGGTGTATAGCAGTTTGAGCCGGTCATTCATCAGCACTCCGTTCAAGTCATCTCAGATAAATTAAGAATTGATTATCTTAGAAAAACTTACAAATTTACAAATTTTTAAAAAACATTATCTGGTTGAAAACATGTTCTGTTTGCTGCACCAGGAGTTACCACTTGAGTAGCATCTTAAAAAGTTTATGCCACAAACAGAATATTTGTAGTATCTGCATCCATTTAGAGAAATGGATGCTGTTGAAATGTAATTGACAGGATGACAATCTGATCCGAGTATTAGTGGTGCATCAATGCCTACTGAGGATAACGACTTTGTTATTATCATAAACTGTAAGGTAGCTAAACCACACTAAGTGTTTTCTTAATTTGGAGGGGCAGAAATCAAAAGTGCCTTAACAGCTTAAATTAAGAGCTGAAGTTAAAGAGCAGAGATTCCTTTGTGGAGAAAAAGACAGAGATAGAAAAAAGGAGAAGAACCCTGTCCAATTAACGCTATTGTGCATCAGTGGCATTCTGCATCCACCGGGCAAACTCAGAGCTTTAGGCCTGTTATAGCTTTAAAATGGTGCACAGCTAAATGTTTCAATGTCAAACACTTTAGGGATTCCTGGTATTTCTCACGACTGCATAACAACTGAATGTAAACACAGGATGACACAACTGGTGCATGAGCTATGAGTCCATAATGCTGCCGTTGGGGTGCATCATTTGTGCCTGTGTGTGCAGAAATCACACACTTGGTCTGTGTTCTGTTTCCTCCTTGTGGAGGCTCGCGGAAGAGCACATGCTGGCTTTCAAGGCACCGTGTCGACTGCTGTTGTCAAACTGTTCTTTGGATTTGTATGTGAGAATCTTCTTAGAAGCATCAAAATGCTTAACACTGACTTCCATGTCTGGATTTTCCACCACGGAAGGGTTTCAATGGAAGCTACGGTTGCTGCTGAAGCTCCTGTGCGACGCTGCGGTTAAGGTTCAGAAACTGGGCAGGTCTGAGCACAGGATTTGGGAGAAGGGATGTCTGAGCAGCTCCTCAGCGCTGGGCCTGTGTTTGGCCTCCACAAAGATGCAGCGGATGAAGTCCCGCGCCTGGTCGGAGGTGTGCGAGGGCAGTAGCGGGTTGGTGGGCTGGGTGGCGATCTTGAATATGGCTGCCATGGCCTCGTATTCGGCCCACGGAGGCTTTTCTGTCAGCATCTCCACCACCGTGCAACCCAGGCTCCTGCAAATAACATGTATCAGTTTAACTTCACATGAAAATACCACAGATCATGTCTTTGCTGTGTCATTCTATATATAATCAACCAAATCTACCCTCAGAATCAGCTGATTATTTAGGTATAATAACTTCCATGTCTTTATTAAAGATATGTACAAGTTAGCCTTCACACTATGAATATTTTTCAATGTCCAGGTCTAAAACATGATTATATTAAAGCATGATTTTGACACGGGTGGATTCATGGCTAGAAGATGAGCCTGGTGTTGAACTATAGGTAAAAACCATGCCTCATGTGTACATGTGAAAGGTGTACATAATCCTTATTATATCTTTATTTTTAGTCTTGTCGTGCTTCTTCCATGCCTCATTTATATCTAGCTGTTGCAACATGTACATTTTCCCTTGTCTTATCCCGTCTTAAAATGAGACATTTCATACAAAGCCCTTGTTTTGACCGATCGCCTATCCCACATCGTGATATGACCCCTGAAAGTTTATCCAAAGCACCCACATTTCTCTGGTATCAGAAAACAGATAACAATAGGTAACAATACTTGTTTCCATTACTCTGTGTCATAGACATTAAACTGGTGCATTTTTGTCAATAAAACTGTGATATGTTGATTGACATTCAGTCAGACGGTACAACCAGCACTGCTCTCAGTAGACCATCCATCCATCCATTATCTATACACCACTTAATCCTCACTAGGGTCGCGGGGGGCTGGAGTCTATCTCAGCTGCAGGGGACACCCTGGACAGGTCACCAGTCTATCACCGGGCTACAGACAGACAACCAAGCACACTCACATTCACACCTACGGACAGTTTAGAATCACCAATTAACCTCAACATGGTAGTGGACTGTGTGGGAGAAACTTGAAGAGAATCCACACTGCATGGGGAGAACATGCAAACTCCACACAGAAAGATCCTGGGTGTCCTCACCAGGACGCGAACCGGCGACCTTCTTCCTGCGAGGCAACATTGCTAACCACCAAACCACCTTGCAGCCCCCCAGTAGACCAAACAATGGACATTTTTCACTCTGGTGTAACATCAGTGCATGTAAACCTGTGCATTAGGATTATTTATCCAATATCAACAGTGCTCATGCATATAAAAAAAAGGAAAGAAAAATAAAAAATTGTGCTGATCAGTCACAGTTCCTAACAGAGCTCAAATGTGTTTTTCATCACTGAAAATTTCACCTGTCTATCTCCTGAACGTATGAAGTTATGAGGGCTCAAACATGCTGGAAAAAACTCAAACGCACAACATTTTCTACACACTGAGGGCCTGTAACTTGGAAAATTGTCAAAGTATGAAGGTAAAATTTTGAAGCATGGCTTCATAAAATATAGAAAAGTTATTGTACATGAAAAAAAACAGCTGATTCTGAGGCAGTCAGGTGGGGGCGCTGATTGATTTTTCATGGAGTGATGCTCCTATTTGTCTCTGCAGCTCTGAAGGAATGTTTTCAGTGGGAAGCGTCTGCAGAGGGCCTCCTCCACCTGTCTGGGAGGTACAAGCCCTCCTGGGAGCTCTACTCCCCCTCCACAACCTGGAACATACCAACCTCTGTAATGACCTGTCTGACTGGCCTCCAGCCAATCACATCACTCCTCTGGTGGGTCGCCACCCAATCAGATTGCATAAGGGAATGTTGTGCACTCTGTGTGTGGGAGTGTGGCAGGAACTGGGTTACATACAGCAGCCTCCTCACTTATTAAAAGAAGTTTTTCCTTTTGAGAGCACAGTATTTCTGCCACTTAACAAGTTGGTATTTTCCCTCCGTTCACGTGTCTCAACCTGCCAGTCCCTGGTCTTAGGATCCTCTTTACAATGAATGGGTTCGTTGAATTATGGTGTTTCTGCACCATGTTATGTACATAACCTCTGCCCCTCTTTCAAACAGAACTGCTTTTGCTGAGAGATAACAGCTGGTTTAAAGAATTATGCAGCTTTTTGTGTGAAAATCCTTCTGCAAGTTGTTTCTTGTACTTCAGATGTAAAACATCAAGACATCTGTCTCACCAGTGTTTGTTTGATGCTGGCAGCAATAGCAGCTATCACATATCTTTGGAAGAGCAAATGTCCCATTACTACTACATAACTACTGTAGATTACTTTAAAGGATTCAAGTGATGGAAGACGTATTTAATTTATATACTTGAAAGTAAAAGTGTTGCATTAACCCTCTGAATGCCAAAACTCAGGACCAAGTTAAAAAGGCATCATTGTGTTTTCAAAAAATCTGTTCATCAGAGACAGAAACTGTGTTTGTGATGAGATCTCAGCTTAAAATAGTGATATTTAATCAAAACTTTGTTGTCCTACATGTTTCGTTCAAAAAAATGCCAAAAGTACACAACAAGAAAATGTACACACAAAAAATTCTGCAACATTAATTGAGATAACGAGAGGAAAATCAAACATACATGATCAATAAAATAAATGCAGCATGGCTCATAAACAGGATACAGAGGAGCAAGTTGATACATTGAGCACGCTGAAATGTCTTTCTCAGGTTGATGTGCAGAGTAGGGTTTCAGGTTGGAACTAAAATATGAGTAGTTAAATATCTACAGTCTGAAGAGCCACCATTGTTCCCACTTTTGGTTACATTTGTGACATTAATAAATAAAAGAAAATCCTCTTTCGCTTTTATTGCTACAACTCTTAGTTCCTCTAAATCAAGGCTGAACACTTTTTTTTTTGCCTCATTTAATAAACCAAAGCTGCAGCTTCTGAATAATTTAAACTGTGCTGTAAGTTTTATTTTATGTTTTTATTATCTATTTAACTCCTTCAGTTGTGTTAAAATACATTTTTACAGTGCTCTATGTTCTTCTTACACTTTGTTTTAATGCTTTTTACGTTTTATGTGGAGCACTTTAAAGCGCCTTGTTGTTGAAATGTGCGATACAAATAAACCTGCCTTGCGATTGAAACTGTGCCATACTGCACAAAAGACTATTTTGAGTTTTATCTCCTTCTATCCCATGGTTGTGCTGTATTCATAGAATCCAGGACTTTAAAAAAAAAAAAAAAAAACTGCCTGTGGTTCAGAAGTATCAAAATGTGTGCTTAAGCAAAACCTTTATAGTATCAAAGTGTGCTGCTCTTGGAAAAAATCTGGGCGTTGTTTGATGCAGAGTTGCCTAAGCAGCAGCTACGACTTCTGCTTTCACTGACCTGCTTTGTGTGTGTGCCACTGGTTTGCTCCTCTATTTGAGGAGTGAAGAGAGGAGCAGAGTGCATGAGCCTCCCTCTGCCAGGACAAAGACTCTCCAGCACTAAGACTCCTGTAGCGCCTCCCTGTGGCAACACACAGTAACTGGGTCCAATACACCCCGTGCTCGCCAACCACTGCCCAACCTACGGGTCAAATAGCAACTCCTACTGCCTTGAGGTTATCCTCTGAAATGGAAAAGGCTGAGGGAGCAAACCCGGACAGAAAACATGGCTTGGATGCTGTCAGTGTTTTGAAGCATTGTTCTGGCAACTAATGCAGCCGAACTGACGCCAAGCGTACTGGTTCACCTTTGCTTTGGATCACTCCCAAGAGGGGAGTCTTGCTGCCTGGGCAACACAGGGCCTTCAAACAGCTTGTCCAGGCTTCTTGAGGCCTGAAGAGGAAACTCCAGCTTCAACAGTGGTAGGCCCTTTCTCTATTGGCTCAATAGAGACGAGTGCCAGGGGCTGCCTCCGTCTCACTGGGCAGTCAGTTAGGTTCTGCCCCCCACCGCCGACCTGCTTTACTGGGTGCACGAAGCTCTGGGATTTTTAAGCAACAAATTTATGGACTTTCAACGCTGTGATGGTGACTGAAGATATTATGGTATCACTGGATTATAATTTTTCTAACATTAACTTGTGAATACTGTAGTACTTTAATGTTTTAGTTAACCGACACAGAGTTAATATCTTTTATAACTTTACAGACTTTCAAGTAGTTTATATTCTGATGCTGCAAAAGTAATGAAGTGGGGTAGAGATGTGAACTACAGTGAAACTGTAAAAAGGAACGTTGGGCCTTTAGCTTGTAAAAAGTTGGACAGTTTGCTGGAAACACAAACAAATTGTTGTCTTGTCCTGGTAGCTTTAAAATCTGGCAGGTTTGATGGGCAGGCAGTCTTTTAAAAAAAAAACTGTTAAATTGCACCTTTTTAATAAAAGCCAGAAATTGCACATACAGAGAGAATTACTGGGTTTTCAACTTTCCTATGTCCCTTGAACTACTTGTTGGTGAAGTGCTGTTTAATAAGAAAAGTTTATTCAAGTCACTTTATTCTGTATGTCTCCTTTAAAAACCCACTACAAATAAACTGTTTACAGTGAAGCCATGTGTGACTCAGTTGCAACTAACAGACATTTGATAAAAATTCTGTGATTTTTTTTTGGTTGAATTGGGCTGAACTGCAGGCTGTGTTTACGCAAGTTAAAAATGTAAGTAGTACAATATCTATAGTATGCAGAGTCACCAGTATTGACAACACCAATGAGCACTTGGAAAATGTGCATGTTCATGTTGTTTGCATGTTTTTTTCAATTGTAAATAAAAGAATGTAATCAATTGCAGAAGTTTAGTAAATACACACAATATAAATTACATTTAAAAAAAAGTTTTTCAAGGCTAAAGGAAATAATCGGTTTCATTACTTAGTGTCCTTCCTGATGCATCAAAAAAACTGCTACTTCTGCTCTATCCGCAGTCAGTTAGACTGTGTGTCAGTGTGTTTTATTACACTATGAAGACACCAGCTTCAGTCTGCAGCACCTGTGGGATCATCTAAGGACCAGACTGGACCTCCTGCTCTTACCAGACGTCAGCCTTCCTGCCGTAGCCCTCTCCGCTGATCACCTCCGGACTCATCCAGTAGGGGGTGCCGGTAACGGAGCGGATGCCGGTGCCAGACATGCAGATGGTCTGCAGCCTCTTGCTGGCACCAAAGTCTCCGAGCTTCACGTTGCCCGCTGAATCCCGCAGGATGTTGGCACCTGAACATGTAAATATTATATCTCACCAATCATCTTCCATATACAAGAAGGCCCAAACATCTCGAGGTTAAAAGTCTGTCTAAATATTTCTTCAGCTCCTAAACAGTGTGTTGCTCAGGTGTCTGTAGTCAAACAGGACTACCTTTGATGTCCCGGTGTACAATCATGTTGCTGTGCAGATACGACATCCCCTCCAGGATCTGTCTGGTGTACTTCCGGGTCACATTTTCCGTCAAAGCTCCGTAGGCCTTCAGTTGATCTTTGACTGAGCCCTGATAGGAAATATCACAACTGTTTCATTGCTTTAAAACATCGGGGCAAGAGCTGACATACTGTAAAGGTATGCAGGAGTGAAGACCACAAACCTGGACAGAGGGTAAAGTAGTGAAGCTAATTAGATGAAATATCTTTTAAAAAATATGCTTTTACTGAATCAGAGAGATATTTATATCTTACCTTTCTAAATCTAGTTGTTTACATTTTTTATTCTGACCACCTATGAAGAGTTACAGTAACTGAACAAAATATGTAATTTATACCAAATTTTGTACGAAGTTCAAATGTATTTCTGAAAGAACAGACGCAGAAGTGGAAAGGGAGGTAAAATAAAAATGTCAGAGTTGCAATTATGCGCAGAGAACATTAACAGAGAAACCTAAAACAAAAAAGTGTTGAGTTTTTTTTTTTTTCACCTTTTTCTGCTTTAGTAATAACATCATTTAAAATCTTTTTGGGTCTTTTTCAAAATAGACCCTCCCTACTCTGCCTCCATCATGGAGGGCAACTCTCATATTCACAGCTGAATGAAGCAGCCTTCATTAAGGGGGCTTCATTACGGAGAAAAACAAAACTTAGACTAAAATCTTTTTCAAATGATCAAACATCTATTATTTTCTAGTCAAGAGTCTGGAATATTTAGTCCTCACAAAGTGTACTTTTTAAGTTGTTCATGTGGGAATAACTAAATGTCTACCTTAGTTTGAGCAGTTTAATGTATGGTTGTTGCACAGAATGGACATTTCTACAGAGTATCTTCAATAACAAACACGACATGGCGTCGCAGTTAGTCGGTATTGATGGAGAATCGCTGTTGGTTTTATAACCCACTTCCATTTCCTGTTAATTGGTCTAGTTTGGCAACTAATGTGGTGGACTGTCCATGCGAACAGAGTGGAAGTGAGCTTGAAGAGGATGTAGTTTTTATCTTACTAGTTTGTTTGTTTTTTTACAAGTTAGGCTACACAATTACGGAAGAAGGAACCAAACACTGAGCCAAGATTAACCCTCTGAACCCCAAAACCCACCAGACGGTTTGAAAAACATGTCTTAAAAAAAAAAAAAAAGCCCAAGATACAACCGAGATGCCGTGAGTGAGTTAAGTATTGAAACAAATTTGAAATATAAGTAGTAAAATATCTATAGTATGTAGAGCCACCATTTTTTCCCTAGTATTGGTAACACCTGTGGGCACTTGAAAAAATGTTGGAGATGATGATGATGATATGATATATTCTAAATGTGATTGAACTAAAACACTAAGAAGAGAGGACAGATTTTGAGTTGTTGAAACAATTATTACTCTGAATGTGTAACATTAAAGCTGCCTGCACTCACCCCCGGCATGTACTCCATGAAAATAGTGAGGGTCTTCTCATTGTGGTCCCTCAAACAGCCGTAATACTGAACGATGCGTTCGTGATGCAGGTTTTTCAGCAGCTGGATTTCGCACTCCAAAGCACTGACCTCCTGCAGGAAAACATGGACAAGTAGGATTAACAACCACAGCTAATGAAATATAAAAGCTGTAATCTCTGAGCTGTGCATCTTCATTGATTTACTGTTTTCATTTCAGATGTGACTAATGTCCCCAAAGGCTCTGTCAGATCAGTTACCAATAATCACAAACAAATGCAGCCATAAACACAGGGATGACTAACAGCGATTTATAGCTGCGTGTGGAGTCTGCCGAGAGTGAAAACTGAAACAGAGAGTAAATGAAAACCGATAGCACAGTTCCCCAAAAGAAGTTCCTGTGTTTACATCAGAGAGTAAGGCCACAACAGAGAGGGAAGTCGCAAAGTAATCCCAAAGTCCCAACACAGAAGCCGGTCTAACAGAAGCAACAACTGATTCTGATCTGCTACAAGCTTGGCGGGGGAGGACTGGAGGAGTGAAGGGGTGATCGGAGGTCAAGGCACTGCCGACCCGTCACCCTCCAGCACCACAACACTCGGCTGCTCGCAGATACGGGAAGTGACAGTGCATGTTTTCTCTGCGGCAGACAGGAAAAGACATTAAAATGGGGAAGAGGGGGGTCGAGGGAGGAAGGACAAGCTCTTCGATGCATTCCACTTCTTGACTTATTGAATTTCTTTCCTGCAGATTGATTATTTTCTTTGTGCATCAGGGGACAAAATAAAGTTTGTGGCACAAATCCAGAAAACGTTTTTGATGGAAGATGGTTCACTCATTAAGCCCACGCTCGGCCGATCACGCTAACTATCTGCATTCCAGCATAACGGCCTGAACAGATTAACACATGAAGTCACTTTTGGGCACTTTTCCAGCTGGACATCGGAGCAGATTCAGGGTTTGTCACTAAAAAACAAACTTAAGTTAAATATCTTCCAGTAAAAGACAATAATGTCATCATTCAGGTAAAAGAAAGGAGGTCATGATGCTGTTTCCTGAGAAAAACAGCAGAAATTTAATGCTCAACTAGGGGTAGCAAAATGTCAACATGCACATGCAATGTCTGCAAAGCAAACTGTATTTTTCTTTCACAACTGAAGCTGTAACAGGAGGCAGCAAGCCATAAAAAATAGTGGAAATATTCTGAAGTGTACCACAGAGAGAAGCGGCGAACACACAAAGAAAAACCCAGCATGGAGTCTCTGTAAAAACTTTCCATGTTAGTGTTAGAAGCTGCATCTCACCTTGCTGGTCTCTGGACTATCAGGATCAAACTGGACTTGCTTGGCAGCCAGTTCTCTCCCAGTATCCACATCGTAGCACAGGTAAACCCGACCAAACGCACCCTGACCCAGGAGCTTCCCTCGACGCCACGTCACTGGAGCACTGGGCGCTGAAAGAAAACAAACAAACGTGTAAACACACAGTTGCTTATTTCTATTTTGAATAAATATTTCCCCACTCATGATTTTAACCGGCTGAACACCAAGCAGTTGATGAAGGTGAAAGTCTTTGATTATTTATATTTATACATTTTTCCTAGCATCACAAAAATAGTGGCTCAACAAACCGTTGATAACTTAGATTTTTATTTTGTCTCATACTTGTTCTTCTATATGTTCTAAGTAAACAGGCTGCAGTTCAACTCAGTTCAGATGGAAAATCGCACATTTTTTGTCATATGACTGTTGGTTGTAGCCAAGTCACTAATGGCTTCACTATTTGCAATGAGGACTGTACAATTTTTGTTTTTTTGCAGAATCTGGTTTCAGCAAATTGTTGATCTTTGGTGAATTTTCTAATAAAACATGTAGAATATAGACATTATGATGAAATATCACAATTTCCAGGTTAGATTTTCTTAGCTTTCCTGACAGAAGTGCATATTACAGATGATTAGTTCAACGACTTGCAGAAAGTTTAAAAAATTTCATGATTTTTCCTGTTTTTGCAGTTTCTGGCTCTGAACAGTGTCATTTTGTCATTTAAAGGTCACGTGCCTGGTCCACCAGAGGAATTTAGAGGGTTAATACTGAAGTTTTTTCATTCCAACTATCAGCTTCTGTTTAAAAATATCCAGCCCTGGTATTGGCCTTTGCACCCAGCAGTGAATCATTTATTGTTGAAGAATGTTTGTCACCCTAAACAGTGACGTAATATTTAGTTAGGTGAGCACTCACACTTATGGGCCACAGAGCGATCCTGAGGTCGCAGCCTGCCCTGTGCATCGACCAGCTGCCAGCTGCCCAGACTCTCCTCGCTGCCGTTGAGCGACCGCCGTGAGGGCACCAGAGTGAACAGGTTTCCCTGCGGACGACGGATCCGTGGAAATGTTCGACGACCTGAAGGAGACCAGGAGAAAGTGTTGTTGAGACTAATATCATAAGATGAACAGGAGAGACTACAGACAGAGAAAATAATACAAAGAGAGACAATGAACATAATCGATGAATGTAGATTTGACCTTCTTAGTCTTACCTTCACTGTGGTCCTTGTAATGCAGAGAAACGTGGTACCTCCGAGGATAGGTGCCTCCCTTCCCTGCTACCCTGTCATACACATGATTCTCCCTGTCTGGAAACAAACATGCAGAGGGTCGCAGGTCAGCAGGATTACACTGTAATTCAATCATGTGTGTGCACGCTGGGTCACACTGCATTCACGTGAGCTACTTCTATGCTCTTTCTTTTAGCTTATACCTAGAAAGAACACAACAGATTTGAACTTGACTGTTCCTATAAGCTTGCAGCTGGTTAACACTAACTTGTGCATGACTTCACTAACAAACCATCACTATTAAGAGTCGATCAAATATTTAATAAAACATACAAGATCGTGCCGTCAGTTTGTGAAAGTTCAGTTTGCTGTAAACACGAACATGTCGCCGAAGTCATGTCCTGATGGCTTTAAAGACATTTATAGGTAACCCTCTGAACCCTTAAAGCTGCTAGCAGGTTATTTATCAGCCAGAAACTGTAAAAACAGAAAAAAAAACCTTGACCTCGTAGTGACTTTTAGTTTTGCCAGAGAGAAATTTAATCTAAAGATTAAAATCCACACTAAAAAAAGGATTTTTCAAATTGTGTAAAAAATAAATATCAAAGAAACTCAATTTTGCTATATCTTTCTTTTTTATTACTGGTATTATCACTTTGTTATGTCGCACAAAAGACATTTCTGAGTTCTCTCTACTTCTGGTCAGGGTTGTTCTGTTTCCATAGAGGTGCAGGACTCTATACTGCAGTGAAAAATGAGCCCACGGCGAGTGAAAATGCAACAACAGCAAAAAAATTGCCCAGAAAACTGCCTGGGGTTCAGGGGGATAAAAACGACACCACAAGTTAAACAGTCACAATATGTTGTGACTGTTTTTGCATAGTCAAAGGGAAAGTCTGGCTTTTTCTTGCTGTTTTGGCCCTCACCTGAGCACTCCTGACGATTATCAGGGTAACTCTTGGCTCTGTGCATACGAGACTTCCTCAGTGAAGGGCTGCAACAGAAAGAAGAGTGAGAGATGTTGAGAGCAGCAACAGCTAAAGTAGTTCTGAAACCTCCAATTATAGAGTTGTAATGGAAAGATAATAAAATGCGTAATGAGTCTCGAGCTCCTGGCAGGCAGCTTTAACGAGAGTTTGTTGGTCACCTGTCTGAGTTGCTGTCCAGAGACTGACAGCTTCCAGAAACCGAGTTCTCTGCGCTGCTCCAGGGATCCAGCACCTGCAGCGGGCACAGTGGAAAATCAGCGGTATGTTCCAAAAAGAAATATGTTTTGAAAACCTTCATTCTCTGTTGAACACCTAACATGTGTCTGGATAAACAAATGTGGGGACTCCCTTAGTGGTTTGTTTGACTTCTTACTCCCAAATTTATTTAACTTCTTAATAACTCAAATCCAAAATCCCTGAATATGAGCCAAGATGTTGCAACATAGACTACAAAGGTTCCATTAATGAGCAAAACCAGAGACGATCTTGATTTAAGATTAGGGGGAAAAAAAGCTGTTTATGTTGTGGCAAATCACAAACACACCATATGACTTCTATTTTATTTTCTCCACTAATAGTGAAGGGGTGACTCACGCACTGGTCGCTGGTCTCGGGGATGAACTCCCCCTCACTGTTTATGCTGGTGTATGAACCTTGGCGGGCAATCCTCTGCTGGCGTTCGGGGACGTAGCCGGGAGGCGGCGAACTACGCCCTGTGTTCTGAGAACCTGGGATCAGACACAAATTATGAGGGTAAAGGAAAAGATTATACACATGAAAAAACATAGAATTTAAAAGAATATGTGCACTTTACAAACTCGAGGACTGCAAAGTGAAAGACAATATGCTTTGAGTGCATCGGCTGATCACATGCATGCTCGGCTTTGCATGAATTCTGAAACTGTCGAGAATTATTATACTCTATTGCAGCTGATTTGGTTTTCCACAGTGAAAAACAAAGCATGCAGCAGCCGAGACTACACTAATACAACTCAAGGACACGCAGTAAGATTTGTGACGCAGTCGTCTCCCTCCTGAGCCACAAAGATAAAGAAAACTGCAAATGAAAGTGTCGGTTGCTGACATTCGGCCTCCAAAGAGCGACCGCGCGGAGCATTTATGGCCTGGTGGTGTCACAAAGTCAAGCTCTAAAGTCCTCCTGGAGCCACTGTGACCCCTCCTGCTCCTCCAGCAGACCACTGGTCCGCCACACTAATAGCATTCCCTAATCTGATTGGCTGCTGTCCAGCAGGCATCGTCTAGTGATGGTGAACAGGAAAAGGAAGAGGACCCATTGCGAGAAGGGGAAGCAAAAGAAAGAACAGCGAGCGAGAGAGCAGAAGGCGGCGACAGAAGGGAGATCAAGGTAAAAACTCCACATGACAGCCACCGTAACTGAATATTAACAAAATATTTCTGGCTTCTGGGAGAAATAACCCAACTAGATTTCCTGTTTGGAGTCAGTATTAGAACAGCTTAAGGCATGTACCAGTCGAGAGGTGGCGCCCCCTTGGCTCAGAGGATTGGTACACCGTGCTGACATCTCCAGTGGACTGAGACGACTTGATCCTCACCTGCTTGCAGGGCGCATGATGGGAGGGTGTAGAGGCCTGCGGTTCAAGAGATAAGAACAAGAGGTTTCAACACATCGAAAAAATATTGTCAGCAGAACAGTCAGTGTAAAGTAAATCAGGAACTTAGATTTTTTCACAACATGGCTCTGTGGTGAAGAAATGGCAGTGGTGCAATGGTATTCTGTGAATGCTCAGAGTGTGTCTTACGTTGCTGTGCTCCTGAGTGAGGAGCAGTATCCTTATGCTCTTCATGTTGGAGCTTCGGTCCAGCAAGTCAATTGCTTTGTCCAGGTCATCCTGACCTCGCAGAGGGATGGACAACTGCCAACACACAAGACAAGCAGGGGCACACACACACAAAGTCAACAATGCATATAAACAAATGCATGCCAAGATTCAGAAGCACACAAAGGCTGTTGGATGTGTTTTAAAATGCACAAATATTTAATCAATGAAGAAAACACAGATACACATGTATGCATGAGGCAATGTGTGACCAAAAGTTTCCAAGTACGCACAGACATGTGCAACATGTGCGAGCAGCAACCGTCAGGGTGTTATGTGGCACCTTGCTATCAACATGTTAGACATGTTTTTGTTTCCACTGGAAGGTGCACGTTTGTATTTTCAGCATGAACCTCAAAGTGGAGCAGTGAGCAAACATCACATTCTGTGTCAGTCAGCAGCTGGATTGTCCAACCTTCACGTGGAGGATCATCAGTGATGACAAGAGGAGGCTCTGTGGCTACCATCAAGAGACCAAACTGCAGTGTTTAACACGTGAATGTATAAGAAAACATTCACACGATCAGTCACGTGGACATGGTCACATGACACAAGTCAAGCAGTTCACGTCATATGATTTGGGCCACTCTACTAGCACAGGCTATCAGCTACTAGCTCAAAGCGACTTGTGCTCACCAACAGGATGTGGACTTGGATGTGGTCGGCAGGCATTAAGCATCACAGAAGCCTTTCTCATGGTGGCACTTAGCAAGCTGAACTCCCACAATGCTCCATGCTTGTCAACATGACACTGCTGGTAGTCCAACTGACCACCTCCTCAGTGTTAAACAATAAGAGACTCCACCTCATGGCATACCAGGTACTAGAGCTAATCGACAATACATTTTCTAAAATACACGTCCTTTGTCTTCTGCCTCATCGACTGACATATTTTTGACCAGTAAATCATTACTGGCAATTAATCAATTAAAGATTAATCATTAACATCCCTAATAACAACCACTGTTGGAAGAGGTGTACGGCTGCACAAGGAGACTACTTTAAAGCAGACGGTGGGCAAATGTAAATCAGGTACGAAGTTTGATTTTTATAGGAGCAATCTTGGAACTTCTTGATCACATCTTGCACAAGACAAATATGGCCACACACAGTCCAGACATGACCACACATCCACACACACCTACATAGAGATGACACAATAAGAATTGGCAACTATGTAGATAAATAATTAGCATAATAAGCATTTAAGTCATTTCTCAAGAAAAAATAGAAAATTAGTTTCTCAAATGAGGATGTGAAAGGGGGTGACAAAAGAATTTAAGAACTTAAAATCTGAGATTGTTAGTTGATTAGATCTGGACATTTGAATTCACTACAGTAGACAATCTGTCAGCTACTCTGAGTGTGTCTGGACTCACTGATCTACTACATTGTTGAGAGAGGTGAAGGAGGACAGGCTGAGTGCGGGGAGACGGAGGGTGAAAACACACACAGAGACTCCACTTTACCTCATTGTTCATATAATGCAGGTCTAGCTGCTGGCCAAACACTGCCTTTACTTTCTGCTGAATCTCCTCGAACTGCACAGGCCGCCCAAACATGAGGATCCTACACATGAAAAATCAAGAAGTCACACAGACAGACAGATTATGAGAAACCAGCTGCCAAGGAAACTGCTTTTGAGTTACATGCACACGTGCAAACAAAACACACACGAGCTGCTGTGTTCAGTGTGTGCAGATTCTTCTAAGTACACCTTGCATATTTGTGGTTTGTGCTGGCAGCCGCCGGCTAACCACAGTCCTTTCCCCTTCCATTCTCCAGCTCACATACCAGGCTGAATTAAGTTCTGGAGTGTGTGTCAGAGTCTGAGAAGTGCTCTTTCTCATGAACTGGAACATGTGACGAGAACAGCATGCCTAAGTGAATGTGTTTATGTCTCCTCTGTGCTCTCCCTGACTTGCATATGGATGTAAGGTATACGAATGTAGAATGTCAACACACACACACACACACAACATGCATGCAAATAAGGACCAAACCAAACTCACCTCCTTTCGCCTGAGAACTCAAACTTTATCCTGACATCATCCTAAAAAGAAAACAGAAGGTCAAAGAGTTCTTCAAAACCCACTTGCATGTGTAGCACAAACATTGTTCGCTGCCTCTTTCCCTGCTTCATCATTCACGAGAACCCACTTCCACTCATAACAACTGCAAACGAAGTTACTGAGGGTATTTGGATGGCAGAGAAGATGCTGTTCCAGCGAGAAAATCTCTTGTTTTGCAAGACTGCTTCTACATTTCAGGAAATACGCTTATTTGCCTTCTTGGAGAGAGTTCGATGAGAAGACTGGCTCCTGACTGTCAATGAGTAAATATGAAGCTATAGCCAGGATCCGGTTGGCTTTGCAAAGGCTGGAAACAGGCAGATCAGCTAGCTCGGCTCTGTCCAAAGGTAACAAACTTCACCTAGCAGCACCTCCAAAGCCCACCAATTAATTTAAGTTATTTGCCATTTGTTTAATCCGCACACAAACCCACAAGGGTAGCACTGCAAATTGGGGGATTCCTCTGGGTTAGGATTTAGGATGCTGACCATGAACTGCAACGACCTGCTTCAAATCCAGCCACAGAGCTCTGCTGCATTTCTCTCTCACGTTCACCTCCCTACTAACACTAAATGATGATGCCAAAAACAAGAAATACTTAGTTCAATCCCAACCAAGAAAAATACAGCCCAGAAATACTGTAAAATAGTGAATTGTGGTTTCAAAAAATAGTTTTTTTCTGCAGATTTAACTGTGAGGTTTTTCTCTACCTCTGAACAGAACCAGGCCAGCTGGTTCCCTATTTCCAGTCTTTCTTTTAAGTTGCTAGCTGCACATGTACACTCATCAGCCACAACATGAAAACCAATGACAGGTGGCGTGTACAACATCGATCATCTCATCACAATGAAATGTTCTGCTGGGAAACCTTGAGTCCTGCACTGTAAAAAAAAAAAAAAGCAAAAAAAACAAAAACAGAATCTTTGAACTTTAATTTTTGAGGAACTTAATGTTATATTGAAGATTTTCTCTGTCTTGTTAAATTACAGATAATAGTTTATGCAATTAATTTAAATTCAAACCATAAAAACTGTCAATGATGTTCACGTCAAAAATCTGTATTTTTATAAATGTTTTTTTTTACACTATTTTAAATCAGCAGAGAATTTTTTAAACACATATTTGCAATTTATAAAAGAAAAAATATGCATATTAAGAATTCAACAATGGTAAATAGTTTTTCACCAGATGCAGAGTTTACGTTACATATATTATCTAGTAAAATCACTGAAAAAAGTCTGTAAATGTTGACGGTTGAAACTAAATAGTGGCCACATCAAAAAATTATTATGTAATTTAAATCAGCAAAAAATACAATTATTTCGCAGACACTACTTTTTGAAATAAAATTATTTATATAAAATGTAACTTTTAGATAATTAAACTGCTGTTTTCCAGATTTTCCAGATAATATCTAATAAAAACTCTAGATCAGCAAAAAAAATGTCTTTATTTCACAGTTTTTACAACTTCAACTGTTACAGTGTTCCAGTTTTTTAACACAGTTTTCTGGCACCCTTGCTGCCAGATTTTCACCCTTTTTTGCCCAGTATTTTTTACATTTTTACAGTGTGGCATTCACGCATATGTTGGCATAAACAACATAGCTTGACATTTGTTGCAGGCTGAGCACAACCCTTCATGCCAACAGCCTGAGGACAGTGTCCCTGCAATACCCGTGAGGACGGCTGAAGGAACACTGGTTTTAATGTTTTAGCTAATCGGGGTATAAAATGTACAGATATAAGAGTCATATCAATCCTCTGATGCAACTGTTGCTGAAAGCTGGATAAGATTCTTTCCCATAATGTTGAGCTATTCCTTTAAGCAAACTGCACACAATGTCTGCTTCGGATGTTCTCTGTGGATCCAACTGTGGTCAAGAGCATGAGTGGGTGGGCTAGCTGGCCAAATTCCCACACAAGCAGAACATATTTTTAGAGAAGAAGCTGAAAATAACTGGATCTAATGAGTCTCAGGTGAAGGAGTAATCATAACGGTGGGTGGCAGCTTTGGTAATTAATCCGTCATTATCCTAAATTAGCCAACTCTGAGGGTCGAACATGCTTTAAAATATACCTGAATAACCGGTTATACTGTGCTTTATTATACCAAGCTTCCATAAATAAAATTCCATGAATGACAGACCAGTAGTTACTGGGAATAAAAATGGATTCTGTCAACATTTAAGACTCTCCTGACTTCTAAAGTCAGTGGGTACAACTTAAAGGAGCCATGTTGTGAACAGAAGGCTGTTCGCTGTCGGTTACAACACATCTCACCTTCACGATTTCGAAGCAATTTATTTTCAACATTTTTAGTTAAATTTGACATTTTCGCAGAAGCAACCTTATTGTTTTGGGACCACAACAAAACAGACAAATGTAGGTGCTACTCTGAACTCTAAGCAGTGTCTGGGTGTTATTTTTGTTTTTGATGCTCCTGTCACATTTCCCCTCACTGTGGGCTAATTTTTTACTGAAATATGAAGTCCTGCACCTCTACGGAAACAGCACAACCATGGCTTGAAGGACAGAGAACTCAGAAATGTCTTCTGACACTGTTAAAATGCCATAAATCATTTTTTAAAAAGCAAAAAAAATAATAAAATAGAGCTGAATTCCTATGATTATTTTTTATACAAAAAATTTGAAAAAAACTGGAATCAACCTGTACAGTATTTCTCCAAGTGACCACAAGTGTTAGCTATAGTGGAAAAATAGTGACTCAACATGTTATTGATATTTTACTACTTAAATTTTGAATTTGTTTCCATACTTGTCTTCTATCTGCTATGTTTAAGCACAGCTTGCAGTTCAGCCGTAAAGTCACAGAATTCTTGTTACATGACTGCTGGTCATTGATGAGTCACTAATGGCTTCTTGGTTGCACCGAGCTGCACAGAATTTGGTGAAATAGTTAATTTTTTGCCATTTAAAAAAAGAGACATACATTAAAAAAAATAGTAATTGACAAGAATTTTAAATATTACAGTTCTAAGGTTAGATTTGGTTTTCCAGTGGAGTGGCACTACCCAGATGTTTAGCTCACAGACTGACCAAAAGTTGAAAATCTGACAATTCCTCCTGTTTTTACAGTTTCCAGCTCTGATAAATGGTGCAATTTTGGCAGATTTAAAAACAAAAAAACAAACAAAAAAACAAAACATGCCTTTAAAACTTGCCAACAGGTTTTTAAATGTGTAACCAAACTGTTTCATTGTCAGTTCAATTATTTCACAGCTTGACTGTGATGCATCGACGCTGTACCTGTCTGTTGGCCTGAGCCGCTGGCTTGGGTTTGCCGCTGTCGTAAGGCAACACAGGCTGACACCGCGTCATCTGGAGGGCAACCAGGTCCTTCATTATGGAGTGGAGAGCCTGCCTCTCATCTGGAGAGCATAATGGGTTGGCAAAAAAACACACTATTAGAGCACAGATAGGAAAATGGATGGTGTGTGTGTGTGTGGCAGACAGGATCAGGAGTGATATGAAACCATGGGCACTTAGCTCAGCACTAAAAGGTGTGTGCAAACAATTAGTCAGTCGTGTTTAACTACAGCCATACTGAGACTATCCTGGGACAGCGTATGCGAGGCAGGAAAGACGTGCAGTGTTTTCGATATGCCTATTCCCATGTTTGATCTCAGGGCAAGCTCTGCCTTGGCTGGAGTAGCTCACGAAGGGAAAATATTTCCCTTGTGTAGCTTGGACAGACATCATACAGCCCCGGGGCAGCTGAGACAACCAGACCTCCATCTCCAGAACGCCGAAAAGCAATCTTTCACCTGACGTGTCTGCTGCTGCTGCTGCAGAGGATTTAGCCTCAGTGATGGCGTTTGGCGTGAGTTTTTATCTCGTGCTTTGAGCAAGCAATGTCTGCCTAACATCAGAATACACAGGACTTACTCATTGTAGCGTTGTTTGTGCAAAACAGTCTTCAGAAACTCGTCTCTGCTGTGCCAACCCACCCACAGCCTGCAGAGGTGAACACAGAAATCAATCAGTTATAAGAACAGAGCTTGTAATAACTGAGGTTGACCTGTTTCGCTAACTTTTTCTTATTTGCAGAAGGATGTGAATCATTGAGTCAGACAGGATATGACATATGACAAAGGTTATCAGTCTTACAAAACTCGTCAGTGTGCAAGTACATCAGCTCACAAAACATCAACGACATAAGGAAAGAGGTCTGAAAGCAGGCATGACAGAGAGGCTGTATTACACTCTTCTTATATAGCATCTGGGTAATTGAATTACATATTAGAGTGTTTCTCATGCTAGATTCCTTGCAGGCATGTAACCTTAGCCTGCACAACACAGACCTAAAGATTTTTCTGATTGAAAGCTTCAGTGAATGAGAGTGTGTGCAGTGCAGAATGTGTGTTGTGCTTTTGCCCATGAGAAAGAATGACAATTGGAAACGGCTGAAATTCAAGCTGCACTGGCAGCGATCGCTCTGGCCCGGTTTATATGGGAAGAATGTTCTTTACGAGAAGTTTTCTGCCATTTTAAATATCTACCAGCTTTAGACGACTCTGCTCGCACGAGCTGCAAAATCCAAACTCAGCCGTGTCTTAACTCCATTGTTGATGTTAACAAGGCAATATTATCGGTCCTGTTCAAGGCGTCAACAGCGTTATAAACTGAGGCATTTCCTTGAATGGAGAGGGTTTCCCTCAGATTTGTACCAATAAACCATGGAAGTTAAACTAACTCAACAAAGGAGAATACAAAGGAGCTCTTGTGACTCGGATGTCCTCAAACAAACTTCACAAATGGACCAGAAACTGCTTGGTAATGCTGACAGACCTGACTTACAGCAAGTAAAAGAACCAAAAAATAATCCTTACTCATTATACTGGAGACCAGGAATGCATCAGATTTTTCACCTTCCAATTCCAGCACCTCAATTTAGATATCTGCTAATACAAGGTGTAATCTAAAAGTTCTGGTCCTGTTTGTGGTGCATGCACATCACTGCTGATGAGAGGTGGGTCTGCGGCTGCCACCAACAGAAGAAACAGCAGTTTTTTACAAAAGAAGAGCCAAGAGTTCCCAAGCCTGACAAAACGCATCATGTCAGGAGTGCACCACGAACATGATCGGCGTTTTAACATTTCCCGTGGCTGTGCACCGAGAATTCGTCCGCCGGGGTCGGACTGTCAAAGCAGAGCTCAGTTGTAATGTCATTCAGTTCAAACAACCTGAACTGTGGTGCGGTGGCATTTTTATGTTCCAGCTGTGCTATGATTGAGCTCCCACTGCTTGATTACACATAGAAGAAGAAGAAACGGCCTCCAATAGCTTCCTCCCCTTCCCCAAAATGAAATTCAAGCTCAAGATTAGGCGATTCAGTGAACAACACAGATGGTGCTTGACATGTTTACGTAATGGGACGTTCATTGCAGGAGCACTAGGAGCAGTGTATCACTGCACAAGGAGACTACTTCAACAAGGATGATGGCCAAATTTAAATTAGGTACAGTTTTCAATTTTATACAAACTTTTTAGTCAATCTTGCATTCAATTCAACTCTCTTTTCTAAACATGTAGACTGTCTATACCACACTGTTTCCTTGGGATCCTTTATGCGGCCGAAGATTAAGACAAGATGCTAAGATGTCACGCTGACTTGTAAAAAAAAATCTTAAAAAAAAAAAAATCTCCAGAAGTTACGGGTTAGAATAAGGCTAAAGAACAACTAGTTTCATCAAGAGTATAACTGGGATAAATAAACAGGTCAAACAAGGTCAGAGAACAAGACGAACAGTGTCTGAGGACGGAGCCTGCAGCAGAGTCTGTCAGTCAGAAAGCTGTCACAGAGGAAAACAGGGACGCGGGAAACTTCTGTGCATAAAATAAGCAGCATCGGCACCTGAGGCAGCTCATTGACTTTGTGGATTTCTGGGTAATAATCACCCACAGGAATGCCGGGCACGTCCGTCTGTGGTCTGCGGAGCGTCGCCACATTGCCTCCGAGCTTCCTTCGCTCTCATGTTCCCCTGCCAACGGCGTAGGTGCCAAACACTTTTGTCCTTCAACCCTTCGAACTTCATGCTTTTGGCATTTCTACCCTATGAAATAACGTGGAGTTTATGAAGTGAGAAATTCTCACTGTGTCATGGAGTGTACAGTCACCTCAGGTAACACAGAGCGCCTGTGTACTACAAACTGTTTCCAAAGAGAACACTAAGGGTGCTTCATCAAGAAAGAAAACCTCAAATTGCGCAGCTCAAGTGACGCTTGTAGTCAACAACAAAACAACTAACCTCTCTGTCCAATCCTCAAGCTACCCTCAGCCTCTCTCTCCGGCTTCTCCTGATTTTAATTACCTCCCAAGCGGAATGTGGGGAATTCATTGGAGGACGAGGCTGCGCTCTACCAGTCCAGTCAGCTGTGCCTGCTTTATTTTCCTTGTATCACATTTCCAGGACTAGCAGGATTTACATGGATTTTCCTCCGCCCTCTCCTCTCTGTCTGCTTTGAGAGGTGTTTAGTCTGAAGCTGTTTTTCCCAGCCGCGGTCCTCTCTGTCTCAGGCCAGTGATGCATCTGGACTCAGGGCTTCACAGCAAAATCCCCTGGCCTGATGCGTCTCTCCCATTTCAGGTGCACATGTGCTTTTGGTTTAGGGCAACCCACCACATTTAAATATTGCAATCTCGACAAAGAGCCAGTGCTTGCCTTGGCAACGTGAAGTTTTAGAAAATGTCCTTTGTGGCGCTTTCACACAAAGAATTAGGTTGAAATATACATCTGAAATAAAAGCGTACGTATGACAATCTGAGGTTTGAAAATCCAGCTCATTCTGCATGTTGACATGATATAAACCATATGTAAAGTTATAAAGAGAAGCTGGCCCTCTGTGTCGCATGCCTGCATAAAATTATACAGGTATCGACTGCAGGAACAACCACTCTCTTTTGAGACGAATGCATTATTTCCTGTGAACGCATCACAAGAGGAGCCAATCAGGTATGACATTTCAGGTGTCACATCTTTACACCATCTAATCTGTCTCTTTCATCTTTAGTTCTGCATTTGTAGGTTAAAATGTCTGTGTTTTTCTTCCCTCCTACTTCTTAAGTCCAAAACAATCACATGAACTCATCCGATAGCCTATAATCTAGTGGTACTGAGACAAACGGTTTGTATTTACACAGCAGGTTTTGAAGCTATCTGCGTCCCTTTGATGCTGCATTCATGTCATATAAAGGAGCAACTGCAGGGTATTTCCTGGCTCAGAACTGGACCGTTGAGGGTGAGCAGTAGGATCCATCAGTAAAGAGAATGAGTCTCTGTTGCTTCATTTGACAAAAATGCGTTTTCCTGTTATTTAGGACTGTTTAATGAATAAAAATGTTTGTTATACTTGATTAAATGAAACACCAATTAACAAAACTGGCCACAAAACCTCTCTGCAGGAAAAACCATGAACTATGTAGGAACTAATGCAAAGACTGAAAGTAACACATTATGCACACATTTTATCACTGTGGGGGTCTGGACCATTTTTCCATTTACTGCTGCTTTGGATCTATTTATATGGTGTTAGTTACAGTTTATTTATAGATATATTTAACTATATTCAATTTATACTATGATGTACTTACTTTTAATCTATAAATCAGGGGTATGCTGTTAGAATCGTGAAATTCATTTGGTCCAGAACACTTTCTAGTATAACATATTATGACTTCTCTGTAGACTTGAGATATCCTGATAAATAAGGATGCGTGATATTGCCAATATTCATTATGCCAATACATATGCACTCATTTTGACTGATTGCACATGCACATATTTTTTTCTTGTAATTACAGAAAACATAAGAGTTCTCCTGCAGAGGAATTATAACATTATCATTCCTACCGTTATTGTGACGGCCCACTGGCAGGTGTTGACATGAAATACAACACTTTTTTTCTGTCCACATTACCGGGCAAAATAAGAAAACTACTTCAAGTTATATGTAAAAAACATGCCATATTCATTACAACTTTTTCTTGCTTGTTTTGTGAAAAAAAAAGAAACTCTGTGCTTGATCACAGGTTGCGTCTGTATTCTTTGCCATCTTGCATGTACCCTGTGCAGCTCTAGAACTAACATCCACAACGCACTGCACCAAGGTGATGCTTCAGGTACCAGAAGGACGTGAGTTCACCTGTTACAAAACTACCTCAAATCATCTCCTGATCCTAATACTCCATTACTTCCCAATACAAGTGCTTGCAATGGTTTAGATGTGTTTGTCACTTTCAATACATAATTTAATTCATTGCGACTACAAATGGGGTGTTGCTGCAAACAACATTCTGACACGATAAACATCATGTAGAAATATATAAAGACCTGTCTGGGCCGAAGCAAAAGCACAGATGCATGTATTTAAGAGAGCAATGGGACGAACAACTGAGAAACAAAACGAGCTGAAAGGACAAGGGCAGAAAATTCAACCTTTACAGCGAACCTGTTGTAAATTGAGAGAGAAATTACAGACTTTTGGAGCAGAGCTGCTCAAAACTCTAGATGAAATGTATTTAATGGTGTTTCCTGAAAGAAAGTTATGTGATAGACATTTTTAAGCAAACACTGACGAAACAGATGATCCTTTTTTTTGTGTGGTAAATTAGTTTTGGTTTTTTTTTGTAAATATAGCACAATAATAGGTGCAAACATTTTTAAGACTCTTCATCCTTAAGATGTGACTACTTTGAGGCCAATAAGATAAATAAAAGTTTCAGGACTCACCTTCTAATTTGGGAAATATACCCTCTTAAATAATCAGAAACATCTTCATTAACAGGTTTTGATGAGCAGATGAACCCTGTCTTTGTTTTTCTGTATCAATTGAACGCAGCACAATCCCCACCTGTCACCCCCGTCCCGTGCGCATGCTCACAACACTCACCTGTCGACTCCGGTCACCGGTGTCTCGCGGCACAAATGATGACGCAGTAGGTCCAGCCGTTGCTCACGTCCATCGGTGTCCCCGGTCACACCGACACACCGGAGTCTGAAGGCGCCATGGCGGGGCTGACCCCCCCCAGGTACCGGGGGGCTTGTCCTCGGTAACGGAAGGTTGGAGCGCGCGCGCACACACACAAACCTGACTCTTCCCAGGTTGTAAAAACAATCAGACAGCTGAAAATGTTCCGATGGAAAAGCTACATCAAACTGATCCAGCTGTGGCCCGCAGACAAACTCCCGAGCCGCCGCAGAAGTCTCTTCGGATCTCTGGAAAACTCACATTTCCCAAACATTTTCTGAAGTCGCGCTTTTCAGGCTTTTCCGGAGTGAGAACTGTGTCCCCGTTAAAAAGCTCCCAGAACCAGGTGTAACAGTAAGCGTGTGGCCCGTATGAAATCCATTTGTGCGTAACAGCTCGCCAGAAGGAAACACCGAACGATTTCCGTGATTTTGATGGCCTCTCTTCCTGCTAACATTGCAGATTTTACTCGTCTGCGTTGCCAGGTTTGAGTCCAAAACGCTCTGGGCTGCAGATATCGTCACTTTTATGACTGCGCTGCAAAAAACTGCATGGCATCACAGCGTAAAGGTAAAAAAAAAAGATAAAGGCCTTTGTGGCCTGAAGTCAAAAGTACAGATGACTTTAATTCAGAGAGACGTGATGGACGACTGAGAAGCAAAACAGGACAATGGCAGAAAAAAAAAATACCACCTTTAGCCGTTTATTCGCACTCCGAGAGAGTTGGATAAAGTCCATCGATGTTTGGAATTCGCGTAGCTCCAGAGACAAACTGGAATAAAAAAAACAAAAAAACAAAAACACACAAACTGTAGCAACTCAGTCGTTTGTGTCACAAAGTTGCCGAGCGGTGTCCGGAGCCAAAGCAAGTCTTTTCACAACCAAAACAAAGCAAGAAATGATCTTCAGTCGAAAACGTCAAACTTCCTGACAGAAAAAAAAACACACACATATCGCCTCCGGAACGCGCTTTTACGCGTCCGCTAAGTCACGAAAACGCTGCGTAAAGGTTCTATCCATGTTCTCCAAACGTCTGAGCTGCCGTCGTCCACACGTCTGTAATAACAGCGAGTTATTCCCAGCGGGTTTCTCGTTACTAAACTCTCCAAATTAGCGCCGTGCAGCCGCGGGCGCGCGCTGTTACTCGGTGGAAGTCTTTCTGCTGGAGCGCGTGCACAATGTTATTAAAGGGGCGGGGCTGCTGTGACGTCTGTGAGGCGTTTGGGGCCTTCGAAAGTGTCGGAACAATTGAATTAATTGAAGGCAATAAACTAATTGAAGTCCGAATAATAAACATGCAGCTATTTACTTATTGTATTTTAATGACTATCTTTGGTGAAAGTCTATTGTTAAACCTTGTTAGCATGTGCATATATTGTTTTTTATATGCTGAAGTTACTAAAGGCCTACAGTATATAGCATCTGAGCAATATCACATGAACTTCAAATGAGACAAACTTGTGTCGCCGCTCAGCAACTGCAAATTTCAAACCTAGCACTTCATGCTTACTATGTTAAACAGGCCCCACAGTAGGAACTCAATGCAACCAGTCAGTACATCTTTCATTGCTGAGATTCCTACGTTGCATGAGGACACCACATTTCTTCAGAGACGTTCTGTCAGTCTTCCAGAGGGGTTGTGTTGCTTTTCCCTTTTCTGCTTTGCCTGTATACATTTGCAGAGTCCTTATTTTAACTCTAAATGGTAGGATGTTGAACCTAATATTTATTATAGTATATACAGATATGTTCAATTTCTGTAAGGTTATAATCATTAATTACACAATTAATCCGGTAAATTCACATTACGAATACCACCGTACAGTCTCAACTTCAATAAACTTGTAAGGTTAATTGGTACACTTTGACCTCAACAGCTATTACTTTAAATGTGTTGTATAAATAACAGAGATTCACGATTTTATTGGATTCAAATCATACAACATATTTGTCCAGTTTCTTTTTTCTAAACTCTTGTGTGAGTTTGTGCTGTGGATGGTTATCATGCTGGAATATTCCTCTCCTGTTGAGTTTCTGCAGACCGGGAGTTATCTTATCAGCCAGTATTTTGGTTTATTCACAGACACTCATCCATAAATGTTATCTCACCAACACCTCTGGCAGTCGTGCAGCCCCATATCATCACAATCCTACCTCTATATACTATGTATTCCGTGTGATAGTCATCCATGTTCAAACCAAACATGTTGGACCCCATCTGAGCCAAACAAATTTATCTCATCTGACTGAAGAATGTGCTCCCAAACTTGAATCTTGTAGTTTTGTGCCAAACAGCAAGCAAATGTGCATCTTACAGTTTGAGTTCAGTTATTCATCATGTCATATCTGTACATGTGAAAGGTGTACACAAACCAATGTAATCATTATATTTTATCTTTATTCTACCTTTGTATTTCTTGTCATTTGGTTTACTATGCTTCACTTTTATCTAGCTGCTCTAATGTGTGAATTTCCCCAGTGAGGGATTACCAAAACGTATCTCATTTCTTATCTAATTTTACTTGAAGAGTTTTCTTCCACTATTGTTAAGAATCACTTGACATGAGCTGCTTGTGGGTGTCAGGGTCAAAGCTTACAACAGAAATCCCTGAGGCAGGCTCATCAGGACGTTTCACAATCAATAAATGCTTTTGTAGAATACTACAACTTCATTACAGTTTTTCTCAGTCGCTTTGGTACATTTCTCGACTCATCCTTGACATTTGCAAAACACTAAGTGCATTTCTCAAAACAATTCGTACAAATAGCAAAACACCATTGATTACCTGCAAAAGGCAGTTACTTGCTCAAAATCCTTAGTTCATCTCTCAAAGCTAAATATCTGTATCAATGAACATGTCAGCGTCATCAGAATGACAAGTCCTTGTGTCAATGTGTACGGATAAGACAGTCAAATTATTTACTCATGTTGTCAATATAACAGTGTACTCTGGAGGGATGTTCTGATATAAACTGTGGCTAAAGTTTTGATAGCAATTATTGTAAATTGTGAGTTACACCTTAGTGTATGTGGGAGACTGATTGCAAGAGACTAGACAAGATTCACATTTCCGCTTTTACTGTTTGTACTGTAATTTGTTGACAGATCATGTCATTGTGATACAGAAAGTGTCTTATCCAGCCTCTGCAGGCATCTGCTGTGATGTCATCACACGCTACATTCATGGCAGAAGGGTCGTCTGTGTATGTGGCTGGCAATCATGTACTTTCCATCTCCATGCTGAGGAAAATTCCTCAATGGGGTTAAGGAATGGGGAGTAGGGTGAGAGGAACTCCATCAGCATCCTGTTGTGGGTCGCAAACCATTGCCTGATGATGTTGGAGCGATGGAAACTGACATTGTTCCAAACTATCACATACTTTGGCAAGTCATCTCCAATCTGACCCCTCTCTTGTTCGGGGGATGAGATCTTCTGTAGAGAGTGTCTAAAAACGTGACAAGATGCTCTGCATTGTATGGCCCAAGTGGAATGCAAGTGGAATACTGTAATATTGTATGAAGCACTATAGAAAGTATACTGTATTACAGTAAAGTGCCTATTGTTAGATTACATACCTGTTCTGTTGACGAAAAGTCTGAATAATTGAGGACACGGTTGTTCTCTTAACATTTGGCTACACCCTTCGACCAGCCTCGCCCATTGTAAGTCCATGCTTGAGAACGTGGTCTCCATGTGTGGCTCTTATTTCATCAGGAAAGCGCATATGTCCTCGGCTCTTCCTCTGTTTTGCCTCCCAACTTGTACAAAATCATTTGCATGGATGCACCAAAGCATTTAGAACATGTTCAAAGAAATGAGGAACTGCTTTTTTGATGTGCACAAGTGACACAATGATGTGAAGATTGAACAAGTAGTTTTGAGAATTTCAATTCTGATCTGAAAAATGTACCAAAGCGACTGAGAAAAACTGTAAGTTATAGTAACTTCCTGGAACCTTTAAAAAATAAGCACACAGAGAAAATCAATGCATTAAACCAACACCAGCATTTTATTTTTTCTCCAAAAGCATGTAAAAAACAAAAATAAAAACAAGAATATGCACAAAATGATTGTGTATATTGGCGTAGAAAGGGGGGCGCTTACATTTTAAAATGTTCCAAACCACAACTAAGCAATAGAGAAGAGGGAGAATAGAGGAGAAAGACTGCAAACACAGTCCAAGCGTCATTTTTGCTGTAAGGCCACCTCAATCCACAGGTCAAGTCTGGAATATAGAATACACTTTCAAAGATGCATACATTTAAGATGTCTCGATGACAACAGCATTGAGAAGTAAGTCCACATTAAGTTTAGCACAAAAATGAAATGACTCACAGACTTAACATTAAAACGTTACACTGCAATCATTCACCTGAGCCTCTTGGCACCAGTGTAAAGTGTACCTTGTCTGCTCTATTACACTTAGAAGTTGCAATTCACAGATTTCGCAGTTGTACCTTGGCGAACTGCTGACAGAGAATGACAAAGACAGAATTTCTAGATACAATTCTCTTGATTTTAAAGCATTCCCTGGGATCCAGAGGACCATTTTAAAATGACAAAAAGAAAACGTACACTGTAACACACGGTAGAAGTATCATACATGTGGATAAAAATGGTTAGATAGGAAAAATGGCTGCTGGTCGAGTGAAGTAATCCTATGTTAGGGAGTGGTAAAATAAGCAGGTCTGTTTTTGAAAAGGCATGATCAAGAGATTTCTTTGTAAAGATCTGTGCCCTCAAAGGTCTTGTTGAAAAAGCAATAAGGTCAGCTATTTATTTCTAAGGCTTCTCTTAAAAAAAAAAAGAAGAAAATATCCATCTGTTTAGCTTTCTATTCTGCACAGCGCGCTCAAATTCACAGTAAACCTTCAGTCACAAAAAAGAATTTTGTGTCATTCAAGTGTCAGTGGTATTCAGACTTTTTCTAAAATGAGATAATTAAATGGCTTTAAACTCATTCTTTGTGTAGAATGAAATATAAACATGGAAATCTTGTCTAACTGGATTCGTTTTTTTCTTCGGTGTTGCGATTAAATAAGTTCAAAAGCGGCTGGAGTGCAGCGGCTGCACCGCACACTGAGGCAACGTATTCAAAAACTTTGAATAAAGGCGAAGTGGGGTTCATGGGCAAATTACTTTTCTTCCTCTCACACGAGACACTACTGTCACACTTTCCCCAGCAGGGGGTGCTATGCACTGGGTTTTTGCATGCAGCATGCAGGTGCACATCAGGGGACCAAACACTGTGACAAACTCTCCATCCACCTATTGGAAATTTAATATTAAGGAAAATAGGTCCAGTTGCTAAGCTGCATTTAGCTCATAAGACAGGAGATGAGAACAGGAAGGCATTAATTTGAAAAGGAAACCTGTCCACGCTTAAGGGATGTGAGTGAGGGGAACAAATGACGACGGATGTTCAGGACCTGATGACTGGATTGGATCTGTCTGTCCCCATAAACACTATCCACTTTATATGAACACACTCAAGTACAGCATGGGAAAAGTCCTCACAAGACACCAACAACTGACAAGCGTGAAGTGATGACGTGATTTACTTACGCTCCGTCCATCAACATCCTCATTTGTGACACTGAAATATGTTTATACGAATCAGTTTAACTGTATAAGTGTTTTGCAGTTCCTCTTAAAAATGTCTCATAGGACAGAGGGAGGGATGTTTGCGGACGAGGCCTCAGTTTCCCTGTGATTATCAACATCTTGTCTGGTGATCGTGCGTGGTCGTTGGTGCAAGACGAGAGGTACAGCATGGTGGGGAATGTTCACTAATCACAAACTACAGCTCTATGTACAGACGGTATACAAAACACAATCCGAGAATTCCATCAAAAAGCTCAGAGATCAACTTATGCCATGACATCGATCGAATCCAAACTCTAAAAAGTGACGACTCGCTATGAAACAAATAAAATCATTCACAACACAAGAGATCAATACAGTCGTAAGATAAGGCTATTAAGACCCAGTCATACCAACATGCAAGGATAAGACTCCGAGTGGTCATTAAAATAAGAACAAATATGGGATGAAGTGAGCAACAATAAAAGTAAACACAAAAACTTAAAACGCGAGAGGTGAGCTGTTGCTGATGTGCACG